ATTTCTGTCATGTTTCTTTGTCTCCGAATTATTTATGCTTTCTTGGTGCACCCCCTTGTGGTCTTTGTGCGCAGTCTTGCTATAGTTAAGCCTTGATTGTTGTCGGCAATACCGGGGGTGATTTGACCTCCAGGCTGACTTGCTATGAGAGTCAGCCGCCACTGCCATCTTCAGTCGTCTTCAGTCTTTGCTCAGTGCCTGTGTATGCAAATTAGTTGCTATCTTTGTTGGGTTAATTTGCATACTCATCATGATTGGCTGGTGGGCATAGCAGAGTGACACCAATTTGCATATTTCTCTTTTATTAGTGTAGATTACTACGTATGACATCTGTATCCATTTGTCTATTAGTGGACACTTAGGTTGCTTCCATATCTTGGCTCTTGTAAATAATGCTGCATTGAACATAGGGGTGCATATCTTTTTGAATTAGTGTTTTGGATTTCTTTGAATAAATACCCAGAAGTTGGATTGCTGGGTCATTTTGTAGTTCTATTTTTAATTTTTTGAGGAACATCCGTGCTGTTTTCCATAGTGGCTATACCAGTTTACAGTCCCTTGGCTTCTTTTTTTCCACCTTCTCTCCAACATGTATTCTTTGCTGTCTTTTTGATAATAGCCATTCTGACAGATGTGAAGTGATATATCATTGTGGTTTGATTTGCATTTTGCTGATTATTAGTGATGTTGAGCATCTTTTCATGTGTTTGTTGGCCATCTGTATGTCTTCTTTGGAGAAATGTCTACTTAAGTCCTCTTCCCATTTTTTAATCGAATTGTTTTTTTTATGTTGAGTTGTATGAGTTCTTTATATATTTTGGGTATTAATCCTTTATCAGAGATATCTTTTTTAAAGATCTCTCAGTCACTAGTTTGTTATTTTGTTTTGTAGATCGTTTCCTTTGTGGTACAAAAGCCCTTTAGTTTGATGTAGTCTCATTTGTCTACTTTTGCTTTTATTATCTTTGCCCTCAGAGATATATTTAAAAAAATATTGGTAAGTCCATTGTCAAAGAGTTTATTGGCTATGTTTCCTTCTAGGAGTTTTATGGTTTTAGGTCTTTAATCAATTTTGAGGTTTTTTTTGTATATGGTATAAGAAAGTAGTCTGGTTTCATTTTATTGCATGTATCTACCTAGTTTTTCCAATACTGTTGTCTTTACCCCATTGTATATTCTTGCCTCCTTTGTCATAGATTAATTTGACCATATCAGCTTGGGTTTACTTCTGGACTCTCTATTCTGCTCCATTGATCTGTTTTGTGCCACCCAAGACCATACTGTTTTGATTATTATAGCTTTGTAATATAATTTGAATTGAGGTAGCATAATACCTCCAACTCTGTTTTTTTTCCCCTCAAGATTGCTTTGACTATGTGTTTTTTGTATGGTTCCACATAAATTTTAGGATTATTTGTTCTAGTTCTATGAAAAATGCCATTGGTATTTTGATAGGGATTGCATTAAGTCCATAGATTGCTTTGGGTGATATGGATTTTGACAATACTTATTTTTCCAATCCATGAGCATGGTATATCCTTCCATTTATTTGTGTCTTCTTCAATTTCTTTCATCAATGTCTTATAGTTTTAATAGCAGAGATCTTTTATCTCTTTGGTTAAATTTATTACTATGTATTTTATTCTGTTTTTTTTTTAAAAATGTGTTTTTATTGATTTTTAGAGAAAGAGAAAGGGAAAGGGATAGAAAGTTAAAAACATCGATGAGAGATAAACATCATCGATCGGCTGCCTTCTACATGCCCCCACTGGGGATCAAGCCTACAATCCAGGCATGTGCTCTGACCGGGAATCGAATCATGACCTCCTGGTTCATGGGTCAATGCTCAACCACTGAGCCATACTGGCCAGGCAGTATTTTATTCTTTTTGATGCAATTATAATTAGGGTTGTGTTCTTAATTTCTCTTTCTGATAGTTTGTTACTAGTGTGTAAAAATGCAATAGATTTCTGAATATTAATTTTGTGTTCTCAGATTTTACTGACTTTATTTATTAGTTTTAATGTATTTTTGGTGGAATCTTTAGGGTATCATGTCATTTGCAAATAGTGACATTTTTACATTTTCCTTTCCAGTTTTCTTTTTATTTCTCTTTCTGATTGCTGTGACTAGAACTTCCAATATTATGTTGAATTATGTTGAACTAGAGGCCTGATGCACGAAATTCGTGCAAGGGGCTCAGCCCTCGCAGCCACCGAGGCTGGCCTTGGCCCTCGCAGCCTCGGCTTCATCCAGAAGGTTGTCCAGAAGGATGTCTGAAAGGTCGTTCGGCTGTCCTGTCTAATTAGCATATTATGCTTTTATTATTATAGATACATGTAGTGAAAGTGGACCTCTTTGTCTTATTCTCAATCTTAGAGGAAGAAAAAGCTTCCAACGCTTCGTTATTATGATGTTAGCTGTAGTTTTCATATATAGCCTTAATGTTTGGAGGTATGTTCCCTTTATCCCCACTTTGCTGAGAGTTTTTATCATAAATAGATGTTGAATCTTTTCAATGCTTTTTCTACATCTGTTGATATCATCAAATGAATTTGTGTTTTATTTTATTTCATTGTTTATCAAATGAATTTTTTATCCTTTGTTTTGTTTATGAAGTGTATCACAATTGATTTTTCTATTTTGTGCATTCTTTAGGAAATATTTATATAATTAAATTTATTATTGTTCCAAATTAATCTTTTATTTTATAGCAAATTATCATTTAAGAAAATGTAGAAAATGTAAAATCATGGGGAGAAGAAAAAATTAAAATCACCCATGGTTGTATTACCTGGATTTAAATATTTCTATTGTTTTTTGAATCTTAGTTTTTCTCTCTGAATAGGTAGAGTTTTTACATAGTAGTTTCAGCTATACTGTGCCTTTCCCCCTGAATAGTATATTTTGAAAGCAGATTATTATAAACATTTGTTGAGTACTTTTTACCATTATGCTGAGGGCTTTCACAGACATAATTTAATTTCTTCCAGAAAAGTACCATTTTTCTAAGCTGAGGTTAAAGAAGTTGCTTATAGAAAAACAAAACCTACTCCTGTCTCACTGCAGTTCGCTACATGTATTAAACTTTTATACTGACTTCTGAATTAAAGTGTGACAGCAACACTAAAATAAAAAATTGCTGGATCAAGGATGCATAGCTAGTAAATAGTAGAATCAAGATTCGAACTCAGGTCTTCCAACTTACATGTCCACATGCTTCTAGTACTACTAGTATATTATAGCTGTTGAATTTGTCATATGAATTACTTTTATTAAAAATTGTCTTCAGATATTTTTGGTAATTCTTACCTAAACTGAAAATTATTATTACAGATATAAGCCTTCCAAAGTCAGCAGCAATCTGTTATACAGCAGCACTGTTGAAGACAAGGACTGTTTCAGATAAGTAAGTAGTTATGGGAACCACAATAATTTAGAAAGACTGCTGAACTCAGTACTATGTTTGTCATCCACTGACTTCGAGCAATGTTCACTTTCCTCTCTACTTCCTTCTGAATAACCTTGATCTTAGGAGACTCTGAGACTCCAGACTGTGTGTAGTGGAAAGAGCAAAGGAAACCTTTTTTAGAGCTGAAGTAAACCTGGGCTCATATTCAAGTCTACCATATCCAGGTGTGGATCTTTGGGCAAGTTAGTCAGTTTGAGTCTCTTCCTCATCTGTAAAATAAGGATAATAGTACTGTAGGGTGGTTCTGTGAGGATCACGTGTGCTAAATGACTGAAACAATGCTAGACAGAAAGTACATACTAGGAATAGTGCACAGTAGCTATGATGATAATGATAAGATGTGTGATAGGGGAAACAATTTCATACTATCTGTTCTGAGATTATAATTCTGAATTGTTCTGTATTCCTTGCATTTGTGGCTGCCTTTAACGAATTTCACTTTATTCCACAAATAAGATATTCAGAAACCAACCAAAAGGTTGGTTACTTTAGATTACTATTTACATGAATTAAAATGGAGTATTCACAGTCTGTTTCCTTTTCGTGAAAATTTGATAAGAATGTACTTCTGTTTTGGGAGATTCTCTGGATATCCCCATGTAGCCTTTCATATTTTATTCTCAAAATAAAAGTGTGCCTTAAATGATCTTATTCTGAAGTCTTCCGTTACCTAAATTTGAAGGTTTCCATTTCTTATGCTGCCTTTATTATATGTTGGACCAAGGCTTTAATTTGATGTTTAGTAGTTATTTGGTTTTGTCTTTGATCATCACCAGAAACTCTGATTAGATTATGATCTAAATCCATATTTTTTAAATATTCATTTCTTAATTTTGTGGTTTTCTTACAGATTCTCTCCAGAAACAGCCTCCAGACGAGGTTTAAGCACAGCGGAAATTAATGCTGTGGAAGCAATTCATAGAGCTGTGGAATTTAATCCTCATGTTCCAAAAGTGAGACACTTTATGATAAAAATATTACTTTTATCAAACTCAGGACAGTGTACAGACCAAAGTTTTGGTTTTCCGTCTCCATAATTTGAGTTGGAATTATTTTAGTCCACTATATTTTGATGCTTATAATTCACCTTAAAGGAGATGTTAAAAGTTGTTTAGAAAGGCGAGTAGAAACAGTAGTTCACTATAGGCTTTGTAATTGCTGTCAAAATAGAATTTGAAATTCACTTAGCTGTTCCTTCTAGTATAGTTTTAAAGAAGTAAAATGGCTTGGTCTTAAAGATCATTCATTTTTTAGATCATTAAATCAAATTTCCTATTACTGTGAGAGCTTTTTACATCTAAACAGATGCCTGGGTTTTGAACTATGGCTGAACAGACAAAGACTGAAAACAAATAGATTAAAGTGATCAATGATAGGAAATAGATTGTACAAGTCCCCAGAAAAACTGCTGAGTAGATGTTTATTTGGTCCCATTTCATTTGTCTTTATAATATGCACCTTGCAGACATACAAATTATTGGTTAATCTCTGTGTGTTATCACCCATAATTAAATTTTGGGTTTTAAAAACAATGTCCCATGTTAGGCAGTATAGAATATTCAATAGATGTATTTATGAGAAAATGTGAATTATAATGATTTATTTCAGTATAATGTATGTTGATAGAATTTGGAGGCTAATAAACATTAAAGAGGTTAATCTCTAAAAAATTATCTCCAAGAAATGAAAGTTGTAAATCTGTTAGCGTGAGTAAAGATAGAGTCAAGAAAACTACTGAAATCTAAGAATGAGAGTCAACAAATATTTATATTATTCTCTTACTAAGTGATATTGGTCCCATACATTTAAATAAAATTTTTATTATGAATTATAATACACATACAGCAAAGTTTATGCACAGAAATGTGCATCTTATTGATTTATTATAAAGCAAATTAGTGGAAACTACCACTTACGTTAAGAAACAACACTGCCAGGCCCCAGAAGTCTACCTGACTGCCCTTCCAAATTACTTCTTCGCTCTTACATAAAGTTACCCATTATTCTGACTTCAATTGTGTTCATTTCCTTCTTTTCTTATATTTTTGGTTTATACTTTTTGTTGTTGTTGGCTGTATAAAACAAGGAATGGTCCCTCTTCTTTTTATTCTGTGGAATAATTCGTGTAAAATTAAAATTATTTCTGCCTTAAACAACTGGTAGAATTAGCTGAGAAAATCACCTGATTGAGAAGGATTTTTATTATAAATTTTATTTATTTAATTTAATAGTTTAATTACAAATTCAGTTTCTTCAACCATTCTATAACTATTTACATTTCTTATTTCTTTTTTGTGTTGGTTTTGGTGAGTTGTATTTTTCTAGAAATTTACCCCATCAAAATTTTTAAATTCATTGGCATGAATTTTCATAAAATCCTTTTATTACCTTGTTAATATTTGTGGGACTAGTTATAATATCCACTTTTACTCTTAACACTAGTTACCTATTTTTTTCCTCGACCAGATTCTCCAGGGATTTATCCATTTTATTAGGAGCGAAGACCTGAGCTCTGGCTTTGTTGTTTCTCTCTACTATTTGTTTCTGGCTCATTCACTTCTACTCTTTATGACCTCCTTCAACTTTCTTTGGCCCTATTTTATTATTTTTTATTTCCTGTATCTTCTTACACAGGTATTTAATTCATTAATAGTCAGCATTTGTTGTTACTAATATATTTTATTTAAGTCTGTAAACCTCTTTCAAAGCACAGTTTAACTGCTTACTATGTAATATTTTTGCATAATTTAGTTCAAAATATTTTTTACATATTTTAGCACTTTATTAAGAATAATTCCAAATGGGTTATGAAGAAGACTTATTCATTTGAGTTTGACAAGTTTTCCAAAAACTCTTAATGAAGTTATGTTCACCAATAAACAATGAAACATCAGCAAAACTATCATACTCAGTATATTGGGCAAAGAATAAAGCTGATACCAAAAGTAACATGCAATATAAGAGATACATCATTAAGAAAGATAATCTGCTGGGTATTAAAAATCATCTCAGGCCCTGCTGGCGTGGCTCAGTGGTTGAATGTTGACCTATGAACCAGGAGGTCACAGTGGTTCGATTCCCCCTCCGGGTCCACATCCGGGTTGCGGGCTCAATCCCCAATGTGAGGCATGCAGGAGACGGCCAATCAATGATTCTCTCTCATCGTTGATGTTTCTCTCTGCCTCTCTCTTCCTCTCTGAAATCAATAAAAAAGTATTTTTAAAAATCATATCAATATGAATTCTTTGCTACCAGCACAGAATTAATTAGCTCTTGAATCCAAACCATGCCAAGGTAAGCTTGGCTGATGGAAGCCAGGAGTCAATAATGGGGGTAGAAAATAAGTTCCCCAGTGCAACAGATCTCAATTGTGTTTTGGAGCATTTCCTTGGCTGATACAAGCAGTATTCAAAAATTTTTCTGGGCCTTAGCCAGTTTGGCTCAGTGCATAGAGCATTGGCCTGTGGACGGAAGGGTCCTGGGTTCAATTTTGATCAAGGGCACATGCCTGGGTTGCAGGCTTAATCCCCAGTAGGGGGCATGCAGAGGCAGCCGATCCGTGATTCTCTCTCATCACTGATGTCTCTCTCTCTCTCCCTCTCCTTTCCTCTTTGGAATCAATAATATCTATTTTTTAATTCTTCTCTGAAAATCAATAAAAATATATTTAAAAAAATATTTTGGCAAATGATATAGTCATTTTACTGAAGAAAACACATGAATAGCTAATAGGCACATTAAAGATACTCGGCATTATTGGCCATTGAGAAATACAAATTAAAACCACAGTATGATATACTTGATACCCACTAGAATGCCCATATTATCAAAGACTGGCAATACTAGCTGTTGGCAGGAATGTGGAGAAACTTCATACATTGCTGCTGTACATGTAAAATAGTATGACTACTTTGGAAAACAGTTTTGCAGTTAAACATATGTACTTACTGTATGACTTATTTCATTCCTAGGTATCTACACAAGAGCAATGAACACATATTTTTATACAAAGACTTGTATGCAATTGTTCACAGCAGTATTGTTCACAAGATCCAAAAATTTGAAATAATCCACACAGGTGAATAAATAAATGAATTGTGATATATCCATAAAATGGAACACTTCTTAGCATTGAAAAGGAACAAAATATAAATACATACAACAATATAGGTGAACCTCAAATAAAGGAAATCAGACAACATATTGTATGATTCTATTATATGCAATTTCTAGAACAGGTGAAAATGTAGAAACAAAAAAGCAGATCAGTGGTTCCCTGGGACTGGCGGTGGGAATGGGGATTGATTGCAAACAGGAACAAGGGAACTTTTTGTGGTGATGGTTACACAACTGTATAAATTACTAAAAGTCATTGAACTATATATACTAACATGGTGATCTTGTTATATGTGAAATATACCTCAATAAAACTGTTAAATATATATGTACACATATATAAAAATATATAATGTGTATATAATTTAAAATCATTTTTATTTATAGGTAGAAATTTACCTATTTCCCCCCCAACTTTATGTCACAGCCAGTTGACAGTTCAACTCTATTAAAATATCCAGCTAAGTATCACCTTACATTATTGTTTGTGGATAGACATTTTAAGCAGGCTGTTATCAAACAGGATAATATCCCACTTAAATAACACTAGTGTTATATGAACTGGGAGAGCTCTGGAATTTGTGGCTGTCTGTGTTTGTTAGGATTTTACAAGTGATGTGGTATGTAAAGGTTCTCTCCCCGCCCCTGACCCCCCTTATGGTCTCTATTCCTCACTCCCAGCTACAGCCAAGCAAACATAAAGGCTTTATGGGTTTTATCCTCAAACTTCAACTGTGGGTCATAATTTATTTAACTTAACAAACAGTGACATTTAAATATATATATTAAATCTTTTAATCTTACAAATTTATTATGCAAATTTGTCAAATGTTATATGAATCTTACCAGTAAAATGACAAAGGATAAAGCTATTTTAGCAGGAAACATTTTTTGGCAACTTTCCACATAACTACAACAGAAAGGCTGTAGGTCTAGAGCTATGCAATTTGTTAAAGCTGGAAACTATTAGATGTGCAATAGAGAAAGACCACATAAATCTCTTCAGGCTATGAATTTGCTTTAGATATTTCATTAATATTGATTGCCTGTACAGATTTTTTTAATCTACTGAATGAATTTCAGTGTACAGTAACTATAATAGTAATAGTTAAAAATTAGAACAGTATATTTTCATGGTTTTTGACTTGTTCTTCATTACCTAACGATGGCTTTGGTTCAGCAAACATTTTCTTTTTTAGTCACCAAACAAAAAAAGGATTGTTTATCTTTAAGCAACTATAGAAATGGTCAGATTTTTTATTTTACAATAGAAAATCTTTCATATCTTTCAATGATTTCACAGCATTCTATTTCAGTCATTCTAACGTCTCATATTCTGTATTATTCCACCATCAAGGACTTTTATAAAAAGTGTTCTTTTAATTGAGATAATTCACATATGACAAAACTCACCTATATTTAAAGTACATATTTCAGTGGTTTTTACTATCTTCATAAGGTTGTATGATTATCGCCACTATCTAATTCTAAATCATTTTCACTACTCCAAAAAGAAACCCTGAATCCATTATGAGTTACTCCCCATTCCTCCCTCCTCCAATCATTGGCAACCACTAATCTACTTTCTGTCTCTATGGATTTGGAATCATACAATATGTGGCCTTCCGTGTCTGACTTCCACTTAGCACAATATAGCGTGCCATGTATCAATACTTCATTTCTTTTTATGTCTGAATAATATTCCATTGTATGAATATACCACATTTTATTTTTCCATTTATCAATTTATGGACAATTGGGTTGGTTCCACTATTTGGCTATTATGAATAATGCTGCTATGAATATTCAGGTGCAAGTTTTTACACGAACATATGGT